GTTGTCTAAACACCGCCTTCTGTAAGTAAGAAAGTGAGCAAGTGAGTAAGTAAGTAAGTAAATAAATAAATAAACCCAATCCCATAAGTGCTGGAATGGGCGAGTGCACTGGATGGCCCCAAACACCAGTATGTATGAAATACACTGCAGCAAAGAATCAAGAGAAGAAATCATTCACTAACTCCACTACTATCTATGCAGAGAGTTCAAAAGAGGGAACAGTAAACAATGTACAGCTTAGGCATGGCAAAGAGATGGCTGTGGACCTACCTAGAAATTCTCTGCTTCTGCTCTCCTGAGGAGTACCCAGCCTGCAGATGGAGACAACAAACACGGTGGGCAGAGCTAAGAAGATCTCACAGCAACGAAGCCAGAGACCTGACCAAACCTTACCCAAGACCACAGGACTCCTAGACTTTTCTAGAGTCTAGAATGAGCAGTTACCTTCACTGTATTGGGTTCAGTTACTTGCCACCAAATGTTAACTGTTTTAGTAACTATGCACTATTTTCCAAACCAAAAAGTGGGAATGCAGGGTCTTACAGGTTCACGGACGCTAAATAGACAATGTGACAGATTATTTGAAATTGGAACCAACCTCCAAAAAATTGGGAAAAATGGTGACTCGTTGCAATACTGATTTTTGGCTCCTTATAAGAGCAAAGTCCAACTATTTTTTTTTTTAAATTGAAAATCTTGGAGCACTGAGTCTAACTTCTTTTTCTGGAAAAGCTGTAACAGTAGTAAAAGAAAATAGGATTCAATACGAATAAGTAAGAGGAATAAGCTACAAGACATAAACACAAAAGTCAGGACAGAGGTCACCTTGGGGGCAGGAGGGAGATGAGATCAGGGAGGGCACCAGGGGAGACTCTAAAAACTTCCATGGCCTATTTGCTGATCTGGGTGGTAAATCCCAGAACGTGTACTTGTATGTGTCATCATTACTTAAACTGAATATAAAACTTCTTTTGCAAGTAAGATAGTGTATTTCAAATATTAAATCATGAATTAAGCTTGCAAAGAACATAATTTACATATCTTTATTTTATCATTTAAGGAAAACTTGTCACACAGTGGTATCTTATTGACCTTAATAAAAACTGAGGAGGTCATGTGCTGATAGAAGAGGAGCTGAAAGACTTGTTGATGGCTGAACAACAAAGTGTACTGCAGGGTATCAGCCCTGGTACCTCTGGGANTTTTTTTGCCAAAAAAAAAAAAAAAAAAAAAAAATGCAGGTTGTTTTTGCAAA